CCGCAAAGCTCCGTCCCGCCCCACCCTTCCCGCGCCGCACCGCACGGCACCTTCCCCGCCTCCCGCACAGCCCCCGCGTCCCGCTCTGCCCTGGGACCCGCACGGACAGACTGCCCACCGCCCTCAAATGTGTTTCGCTCCACCCAGTCCCGCATGGCCCACCACCCCACAAGGCCCTGCAGACGGCCCTCTCGCCCTGCCGACGCTTCACAGCACCCCCCACCACCAGTGGTCCGACCCGCATGCACCCCCTCTCTGTCCCTGCTTCCCAAAAAGCTTAAGATTGCAGTCTGGCTAGAGCTAGTGACCCTTCCAGTTGCTGGGGGCTCCGGTGGAGGGTAACGAGTGAAACGGTCTAGGGTCTGAGACACTTCTCCCCACCTGACCGAAACTTTTTCTCCCTTCTGGGGTCCGGAACCTCAAGGCCACCGCCCCTTTCCCTTCTGGCCAACCCAGCCTCTGCTGCCCCAGCACTGAAGCCCCAAACTAGGCCTCCTCCAAGAGGCCACTGGCCTCCCCAGGCCCTGCAGTCCGCCCACCCCCTCTCCACTCTCCAGGCTGGGCCTTTCCATCTCTGGCAAGGCCCTCACTCAGGGGACCCGACTTCTCAAGGCCCAGTTAAAGGTTCTGCTCCCCAACTCCTCTCCGTGACTCTGCTGCTGACCAGGAAGGGCTGCTAAGACCTGTCTGCAAGAGAGGGCAGTAGCCTCTCTCCTCCCTGAGCCTGGGCCCCACTCTTCCTGGTTTCCTCTCTGCTTGCTGGCTCAGGGCCACTCCTCAATCCCTCGGCTGCCTTCTCCCCCACCAGACCGGCGTGTTCTCCTCTGCACCTCACAGCGCCTTAGATGAGCCTCAGAGCAGAGAGGGCACGGGCCAGGGATGCCAAGCAAACTACAGGCAGCAAACAGGGCAGAGAATGCAGGCCACTAAAATGAGCTGGGCCCGTGGGAGGGCACCGGGCAGGGAGTCTACATTTGGTGGCTGCACTCCTTGGAGGGGGCTGGGTCATGGGAAGGGGCTGGAGTTATCCCTGTATTTAAAAGTGAGAATATGTAGGATGAAGATATTGAAGATGAGGAGTGGGTACTGGGGAGGGGTTAGCTGTGACAGGGGCAGCCTGCCTGGAGCCGGTGGACAGGAAGAGAGAAGGTGGGGCCACAGTGGGTTGTCCCCTGCCTTATCCAGGCTCCCATGGATGCCTCAATTGCCCTTGGTCACTGTGCCTGGGCTCTAGGAAGCTGGTGACTATGTAAACCTTTGCCAGCTGCAGGTGACACGGCAAGTCCTAAAGAGAGGACATGCAGGGGAAAAGGGACAGGGATGGAACTGGAGAATGGGGTCCCAGGGCCAGAGATCCAGGCCTTTCTCTCTCTCTCTCTTTTTCTTTTTTCAAAAAATGCTGACTCTGTTGGTGGCCACATTCTGACCCAGAACTGAAATGTGGCCAGATGGGCTCAAAGCTGTGCATGACTAATGAGAGAGGAGGGTCCTCACATGCCATGGTGAGTTTCAATGGGGAGTCTGAACAGGGAGCTGGGATCCTCCATGAAGGTGCAGTAGGGATGGGGTCTCAAAGGTGCAGACCCTTCAGCACACAGTCCCTACTTCTCTGATGATCTGCCAACTGGTTCCCTCCATAAGGCTTGGAATTTCTGAGGACACAGGCTGGCCTCACTCCCCATGTATGTGTCTGCTCTGAAATGCCTGGGGAACCAACCAGTGGGGATTCTCTCTTCCATTTGCCATTAGACACCAATCCCATTACTGCTCTGTCCCTTTCTTGGGATGTCTCCATGAGACTAAGGCTACCAAATGAGTTGCAGGAAGCCCAGTTAAATTGGAAGTTCAACTGAACAACTAATCATTTTTTTTTTTTTTAGTAGACTTGATCTTTCAGGACAATTTTAAATTTACAAGAAATTATATAGAAAGTATAGAGTCTAGATAGATGCTCTCTTTTCCTGAGTCTCTCTTATTAAATTATGATGTGATTTGTTACATTTTAGAACCAATACTGATACTGGTAACTACAGAAGAGTTTACATTAGGGCTCATTCTTTTTTTTTTTTTCTTTAAAAGGTCTCACATGTTTATTACTGAACCAACCTACCAATACAGAACTTAGAGACAAGGTGAAGCATCATTTTTTTTCCCAATAAACATAAGTGTCCAGTCAGTGGTGACCATTTTCAGCTTGATGTGGCAAGACCATAGTGACCTTGGTACAGCATAAACATGTGGCCCATGTCCTGTCCAGGTCCTCATAGACCCAGCTTGGTTCTTCTTCAACTCTTGGAGTTGTTTCTGATTTTATTACCAGTTTTCATTCTAATCCACTGAGGAATAGGACAATTTTGCTTCTGTTTTTTTGGCCAGAAACCGCTTGATTCTGAAAGTCTTGTGAGAAGATGTGGCGAAGAACCGAGTGGACCACACACGCCACGATGGCGGAGAAAGGAAGAGCAGGGCTCATTCTTGCATAATGTTATGTATCTACCAATAACATAGCATACAGAATAGTTTCAAAACCCTAAAAATCCCAGCATAGTTTCAATGCCCTAAAAGTCCTGTTAACCACCTATTCATTCCCCAACTCCCCTTTAATCCCTGGCAACCACTAATCTTGTCTCTAGCGTGTTGACATTTGTCAGAATGTCACAGAATTGGAATCATACAGTCTGTAGCCTGGTCAGACTGGCTTTCTTCGATTAGTAATATGCATTTAAACATCTTATCCTTTCATAGTTTGATAGTGCATTTCCTTTTAGGGCTAAATAATATTCTATCGTCTGGCTCCACCAGAATCCGTTTATGCCTCTACCTACCAAAGGACCTCTTAGTTGCTTCCAAGTTTTGGTGTTTGTGAATATGGATGCTGTATACATCCATGTGCAGATTCTGTGTGGACATAAGTTTTCAACTTATTTGAGAAAACACCCAGGACCATGATTGCTGGATTATGTGGCAAGAGTTTTAGTTTTGTAAGAAAAACTGTCAAATTGTCTTTCGAGGTGACTGTACCATTTTGTGTTGCCACCAGCTACAAATGACAGTTCTTGTTACTCCACATCCTCACTAGCATTTGATGATGTCAGGTTCTGGATTTCAGCTATCCTAATGAGTGTGTAAAAACATACTTAAATTTTTTTTTACCACACATGCTCATTTGCTAGGTCTGACCTAGGAGGCCTCTTATGAAAGCAGCTCTTGGGTTTAGCTTTGTATCTTGTGAGGCTGGTGAGCCCAGAGCTTATTTCCAAGGGTAGGCCCCGAGGGTTTTCAGGGGAAGGACAACATTACCTTGGAAAGCATCTTTAAATTGGAGATGAGCGATAGGTTAGATGGTCAGGAAGACAAGAGTGAGTTTGCATGTGCACTTGGTCATTAATTCACACACTCAGTCATTCATTCTTCCTACCAATATCTAGTAGGACCAGCTATAGGCCCAATCCCATTCTGGGGTTGGCCTAGCAGTGCTCAAAGAACCAAACCCATGAGTCCCCTTTCTCTATGGGGCATGCATTCTCTGAGGAAGACAGACAACATGTAAACAAGTGAGATGTATCAATGCTCTTTGAGAGCCTTGCTTTGAAAAGTTGAAAAATAATGGAAGGAAGGATGACAGGAGGTGGGGGTGGGCTGTGATTTTAAATGAGATGCCTTCCTGTGAAGGTGATAGTTAATTGTAAGGGAACATTGTGTACAGAGGCCCTGCAGCCAAGCAAGACTGTGCTGGAGAGGCTCCCACATAGGGAGCCCTTGGATGCCCCTCTCCCCGCAAGTAAGGGGCATCTTCAGGTGTGTATCAGTAGGACATAAATTCTCATTGCCATACCGTGGACACACTGTCCTATCCATTCATCTTTTTATCCATCCATCTGTATGGACAACATTGGGGCTGTTTCTAGCTTTTGATGACTAAAAATAATGCCATTTACATTCTTGTACCAGTCTTTGTAAGGATATGCATTCCCTTTTCTCTTGGGGAAAGAGCTAGAAGTAAAATGGTCACATAGGAGGTGTGTGTTTAACCTTTTAAGAAAATGCCAAACTATCATTTTGCATTTTCATCACTGGCATGCTTCCTTTCCATCCTGGCCAGCATTTGGGATGATTAGTCTTCTTAATCTTAGCCTTTCTTACAGGTGTGTAGTGCGAACTGATTTTATTTTGCATTTCTTCGATGACTAATGGTGGTCTGCATATTCACATGTGTGTTTCATATTTAAAAGAGAGAGACTCTTTTTCTCTCTCTCTCCTGTGTGTACATATGCTTTTTAAATCATGAATAAAGTAAACTTTAAAAATAAAATAATTAGAAACAATGTTCAAAAGATTTGAACCGACTCTTCACAAAACAATATATATGAATGGCCGAAAAAAGAGAAGCACTCCCAACAGGGTCTCATCATGTGCCCTTTCCTCAGCCTGTTAGTTCGTCAGGATCTTGATCATGTGCACATGCACCTGGTGTTTCAGGCCATCCAGGGAGCTGAGCCTGTAGATGCCATGTGGCTTCCAGCATGGCAATTCATTTGCTACTGACTACTCCACTAGGCTGGGTTCTGCCCATTGTTGTTGTTGTTGTTTGTTTGTTTGTTTTAAAGTTTGTTTATTGAGAGAGAGAGCCCACCCTTGACAGAGTCTTGTCACATTGCAATCCTCACCCCCAACTAGGATCACGGGTGCCCAGTACATTCTGGTTGACCTGGGATTTGAACACAGGGCTTCCATGTGGCTCTAGTGTTGCACAGCGATACCCTAGCCACTGTGCCACCATGGTTGAGCTTCTCCTATGTTTTTATAGCTCTAGTCTTTTTGTTTGTTTGTTTGTTTTTGAGAGGGTTTTTCTATACGGCATGTGCATTCCCCAGAAAGAAAGAGACAGAAAGACAGAAAGCAAGAAATCACCCTCCAGGGGGGATGGCCACACCACAATCCCTTCTCCTCCATTCTCCTCTCAAGATCTTGG